AAAAATGGAGGTGTTGTACTAGCAGTCTTCTAGTCCATAGGGTGACATGGATGAAGTTCAGCCGCGCTCGCTCAGGGCTACGAGTGGCCGAAGCAAAGAGCGACCACTTGGATCACCTGGCGTCCGCAGCGTCGCGGAAGGGACACTTGGTCAATGATCCGGAGAGAACTTGGTGAGGGTTTGGACAGTAAAATACAAGAAGGAGTCTATGGTAAAAGCTTCGACGCTCACTTTTCAGTGAGACTAAAGGTGCAGGCGCTTGAATGAACATGCAGCATCATGCACCTAAGATTGAAATCAATGAGTTCATATTTCGTTGGCTCGAACCACTCAGCGCTCCCAGATACCCACAGGTGAGATTGTTGCGCCTTGTCGTGCCAGCCCGGATCGCAGTACCATGGTTCATTCACCTCAGAGTGCAGTTGCAATTGTGGCCGCAGCTGCTCGACCAGACTCGGACGAGGAGTCTTTCATCACTCAGGAGAGTGATCAGTGGGACTGGCAGTCCTGTCGACCATGTGATGGGATGGAAAACTTTGTTCCTGCTCTCCAGTTGCTAGGTATCGATATGGCCAAGGCTACTCCAAACAAAATTCGGAGGGAAGCGATCGTGCCACTGGGTGAGACACCTACTTCAAATGTGATTGTGGGAGAGTTCTCCAAGAAGCGTCCCACTAGGGAAAGGCAGTTGATTCTTAGATGATCTTAGATGCTTTAGTCGCTTACACTTCAATCACTGTTCACTCTACTGCTCACTGTTCTTTGCTTGGGTGCTTTAGTGTACTCTTCTGTTCACTCTACTGCTCATTCTTCTTGCGTTGAGGATCAAAAACTACTGGTGCGTTCATGCATTGCTCAAAATGGATGCCTTCAAGAGCCGCAATCCCAGCAAGTACGAGCTGGAGATCATCCTCACTAGCTTTAACCAGCATTTCAAGGCTGGAACCAATGATGTTGGAAACAAATGTGTGCGCGTGTAAAGTGGGACACTGTTGTTTGGCTATCCCCTTTGGTGGCCAGGGCTTGGCTTTCCAACCTACTGATGAGATGGCCTCTTGGTGTTTATCTAGGGGGCCTAAAGGCATGCTGTGACCTCTTCGCATCTATTCACATCTAAAGCCCACTGTAAGGACGCGGCTGATTTGATGGAGTCAACCAGTGTCAAATTGCAGAAGTTGTGGTCAGGACTCAGGAGGACTACTCTCCTGGCTTTTCTTGTTTTGGCAGACCAACCATCACCATCGGATAGGGTGAACCTCTTTGTGTCTTTTGACTTCTTGCAGGATGTGGCAGAATTCTCGTCACTCATCGAAGTCCCCATTTGTTCAGATCTTGAAGGACTTAATGAAACCGCATGAAGCCCAGAGCAGCAAGCCGGACGAGCCCTTTGTGGACTGTAATGCTGAGACTGATGTTTTGGGCGATCAATCTTCGGATAGTGGGTCTTCGGATTGCATCCCGGACAACTTCATGGGGGTGAAAGACGTGCCACCCTTCGATGGGTCTGACTCAACTGTCAGCGTCCCTCAACTTGCAAATGTCCTGGCTTTACATATGTTTGTTGACCCTGAAACAGATACATACATGCGTACATTGGATACCCACCTCTTGACCCTACCAGCGCTGTTTCAAGCCGGTGTAAAAAGGGCCCTGCCCTCAACATGTATATATCCATACATATTTATATGTAACACATCATTTCTGGAAAACACCTAAACATGTCGAGAGGACTATTTAATTGCGGTGGACTCTTGACCTCTTGAGGATGACAGCGATGTTGGGAGCCACATTTGGAAGCCAGAGGCTTTGGATGGTGAGAATAAGAATGGAGCACTGGTTCCTTTTTCGTCCGATAACGAGCCTGAGTGTGAACCAGCTTCTGAACCCCAAGACAAAGAACCAGTTACCAAACGGGCAGCTCTTGCTCTTTGGGCAGAGCATGAGGCTGAGGATTGGGTTTGGCCTCAAAAGGTTCCACTGTTTACGGTTTCTTTTAAAAGGTGGGTCTGTAGAGTTGCCACCCAAAGTTTTACCCAACCAACAGAACCCAGCGTCTCCGATCCAGGAGCCCAACGGACTCGATGGACAGGATGAGCTCCAGGAAGATCTTCCTTCACCTGTCGATGTCCGTATTCAGCAGGATCAGGAACAAGCGGATGGGAAGGGAGATCAGGAGAGACTGAAGCGTAAGAAGTCCAAAAGAAGGGGGTTTTCCGCAAAGAAGAAGGCTCAGAAAACCAGGGCTTCTACTGCAGCTTCCGCTCGTCCCCCAAATGCTTCAGCAGCTGAAGATAGTGAGGGGGTGTTAGGTTCCTTTGATGAATGCTACAGGGCCACCATCAAGGCGTTGCCAGTTTGCTTGTGGCCCAAATCAACGAAGCATGGGCAATACTCTTACACTGTGTACCTTGGCCACTGAACTTTTTCCTGGCTGTCAATTCAATCACCCTTTGTTGGAGTATGAACACCATTTCTTCATTAGGGTTTCCAGTGGACCTATCCATCGCCTAGGCATATGGGAGCAGCCCGGGTCGAGGTCCTTGTGAGACAACAGGCTTTCAAACCGAAAGCAAACGTCGAGGGAGACATCATCAAGGGGGCATCCGCCAAGTCGTACCCTAGCTGCTTTACTATACTATACTATACTATACTATACTATACTACACTATACTATACTATACTATACTTACTTATACTATACTATACTAGTTACTATACTATACTAGTTAAAAGAACACACACACTATACGATACTATACTAGTTACTTACTAGCTACTAGGCGTCACTGTAAATGTTGAGTTTGCAGCGCTTTGTCTATCTAAAGAGCTTGCTAAGGACAGTGTTGAATGTGTAGGGCTTGGTCTATCTAAGGATCTCCTTTGCTAAGGACATTGACCAGGCATGGAAGGATGCTTCCCAGGTCATGGGCCTGAACCTTTCTGAAGAGGGGGCCGTTCCTTGAAAGGTCAAGGAACACCGGAAAACGGGGGTCAGCTGGTCTTGGATGGACTCAGAGTTTCACGGGGCCTAGACTTTGTGTCCGAACCAGGGCAACCAGCAGCTCAACTTCTAGTTGAGTTTTTCAGATCTAGTTAGATGCATTTAGATGCGATAGATGGAGCTATGTGGCCAAGCGTGCCAATGGTTGAGAGAAAACAATTGCGATAAACCGCTCAAGTATCTCCACAAACCTCCACTAGAAGCCCACACCATAATGTAGCTGTGAGCTTTAGATGAGTTGCTCAACTGCTCTCCACCTAGGAACCTGATGGTGACAAGGTGCAGCATACTCATGGCAGTGTGCTGTATTCTTGGGATACCATTTGTTCTCGAACAACCAGCGAGCTCTCTCTTGCAGTACCACCCCGACTTCCAGAAACTATGCAAAGCGTTTGATGTTTACAGAGCAACTTGATAGCAGCTACAAACACTATAAACACTGACAGTCAAGTGGAACTCAAACAACTAGACGACCAGCTTTGTTCCGGCCCTAGGCGTTCGTTTGGATTGGAAGCTATGGACACGGATGAGCCTGGCCTGAAAGTAGACCATCTTCCATGCTCGATCGTCCAGCAAATCACACCTCAACGGCTATGGCACACCATCTCAAGTGTCATGCGTCTCTACAGGTATACAGGTATACTATGGTATACTAAAGATGGCGTGAGGCGTGGGGTAGCTAGTGCAAGTCATGTGGACCCCCAAGCCGACTACAACCACCCAGGCCCAAAGCCTACATTTTTGTACAGCAACTACAATTGCATCCAGAAACTCTACCTCCCATTGCCCGACAAAGATTGGGGCTCAGAAACATCAATCAAGCATCAGATCTGCACATATGGGAAACTGTGTTGTTGAATGCTTCAGTTCGACACCACATGGCACACACCACATGGCCTGCCGCCCAAGGTATTTCGATGGATCGGGGATCCTCCGTGTATGCGGAGGCAAGGATTTGAAACAATCCCAGCATTACCCCAAATTGTTTGGGGCAGCAGTGGCACAGTTGTTTGCCCAAGAGAAGAAACATATCAAGACCTCTATGAAGGATATTGCGCAGCTTGACAAGAGTCAGGGTTGTGAGCAATGGCGTGTGTCCTTTCATTTGCTGATCCAAAACATACTATAAAGTGTGCGCTGGCCAACACATATCCAAGGCAATTGCTACGCAAAGCTGGTATGCCAAAACGAGATCGCATCAAGGACAATGTTTCCTATGTTTCCCGGAATTCCCGGATTTCCCGCTTTCCCGGATTTCCCGGGTTTTCCCGGGTGTTTCCCGGCTTTTTCCCGGATTCTTGGATATAAATGTTCATTTCAATATATCTACCATTTATAATATCTATATACATATATATATATATATTAGATATCTGACCAATTTAGGTCTTCAACTCGATCCTCATCCCCTCCAAGATATCTGATTCATCTCTGAGAGCCCACACCTGCAGGACAATGGCTGGTCTGATCGAGGGAGCCTGCGCGATGTGGTCTATGCGCTGTGTAAGTAGCTCGCAGCGCGGCAATTGGAGCTATGTGGTGGGAATTGTTTAGAAGATTGAGGGATTGGAAGTTTTTTTCAAAAAAAACAGAAAAACATCACACATAGAAATCCGGGAATCCGGGAAAAAGCCGGGAAACACCCGGGAAAGGCCGGGAAATTTCCTGGGTTCTGGCACACTCCATCGACTTTGGATTTTTTTGGAGTTTTCAAGGTCCCCACACCAGAAGTTTGTCGTGAATTCCGGGAAATGAAATACATCTACCCATAACATGCTCCAGAGTGCTTCAAATTCAATGCTTCATAGTAAATTGATACGCTTGCATTTGCAAACTGCTACTCTGGGGTGAAAAAGACAAAGCTGTGTGTGTCGCTTCAAGTTGCTTTTTGGGGCCAGCTGCAAAACACACTAGTTTGTGACCACAACATTTAGAGCTTCTGTTTGTTTGCAGCAGTTTACAGCGGGTGAGTGGTGTTGGGCTAGCGTTGCTGGCAGATATGGGTCGTTCCAAAAGAGAACATAAGGATGTACCAGCTGTGCCACAGTTTAGACGCAGAAGCAAATCAGCTCCTCGGGGCAGAAGCCCTGCACCGAAAGAGCTGAAGAAAGCCAAAGCCAAAGTGGAAGCAGGGTATGTCACACCATCTCCGCGTCGCCGGGACGAAAGCAGTGGCAGCCGGTCTAGCTGCAGAAGGATTTCGTTTAGTGCAACAGACACTGTCACACCCATCGTGGCAGAGAACGCATCGGGCAAGAACATGAGTGACGAGAAAGCAACAGAGATCTTGGCGGCTTTGCAGGCGCAGTGCGTGTCCTCTGTACTGGGTTATCAACAAGTCATGTACTGGGTTATCAACGAGTTATGTTGGGGAGAAACCAGATTGATAAGTCATGTTGATACATCTTTAGATGTTTTGTGTGGTACACTCGATCGATCAACGACACTTCAAAGTCCTGTCAGGAGACCAAGACAAAGCGTGATGATGCCAAGGCACACCTGCTTTACTATCTTTATTGGAAAAGGTTTGAGTGTCCAGGGAAGTTCCCCAAAGCTCCTGGAATGAAACTATCTTCCAAGAGAGTCAAAAGAACAGATCATAGATCTCTACGTCGAATGCAGCAATGGTGGGAACACTTCAAAGCAATGGCTGCGTGTCAGGCAGCTTCGAAGAAGAGGAAGCTCGAGGAGGCAGAGAGCAAGAAAGACAAGAAGAACCAAGATCCATCCAGCAGCAGCGACAGTGAAGAGGGTGAAGAGGATGATGAGAAGAGCAAACCGGAGAAGAACAAGAAGGATGAGGAGAAGGGCAAAAGCGAGAATAACAAGAAGGATGAGGTGAAGGAAACGCATGGTAAGAGCAAGAAGGATGAGGAGAAGAGCAAACCAGAGAAGAACAAGAAAGATGAGGAGAAGGGCAAATGTGAGAAGAACAAGAAGGATGAGGAGAAGGGCAAACCGGAGAAGAGCAAGAAGGATGATGAGAAGAGCAAACAGGAGAAGAACAAGAAGGATGAGGAGAAGGGCAAATGTGAGAAGAGCAAGAAGGATGAGGAGAAGAGCAAGAAGGAACCAGAGAAGAACAAGAAGGATGAGGAGAAGGGCAAGAAGGATGAGGAGAAGGGCAAATGTGAGAAGAACAAGAAGGATGAGAAGGACAAACCGGAGAAGAGCAAGAAGGATGATGAGAAGGACAAACCGGAGAAGAGCAAGAAGGAACTGGAGAAGAGCAAGAAGGAACGGAAGGAACCGGAGAAGAACAATAAGGATGAAGAGAAGGGCAAACAGAAGAAGACCAAAAAGGATGAGAAGAAAGTGGAAGAAAGCTCAGAAGAGGAAGAAGAGGAGGGAGAAGAAAGTGAGGAGGAGGAGGAGGAGGAGGAGAGTGAGGAAGATCTGGTGTCCAAGAACTCTGATGAGGAGTTGGAGGTGAAAGATGATGGAACGGAAGAAGATTCAAGTTCGGATGAATCTAGTGAAGCAAACAAGAATGAGGAACAGAATGAGGATGAAGAGATGAGTGAAAGCAGTGAGGAGGATGAAGATGAAGAAGGAGATGATGAATCCGAGAAGAGCGAGGAAGAAGAAGAAGTTGAACCAAAGAAATGCATTCTGAAGAACCCGAATCAAAGCACAGAGAGTGAGGACGGTGAGGACGCTAAGGGCACCAAGAGGAAGAAAGAGGAAAGAGGCAAAGAGAGAAACAAGAAGCCAAAGAAAGAGAGGAAGGACACTGACACAGATAAGGCAAAGGGTAAGGCTGACGAAGAAGAGAATGAAGAGAGCGAGGACGAAGGGGCAAAGGACAAGACAAAGAAAAAGAAGAAGAAGTCAAAGAAGGCAAAGGATGAGGATGCGCCAAAGAACAGCACAAGATATAGGAAGGAGTGGCAACAGCTGACTAGGTGGTGCCAGAACCCAAAGAGGTGCCCAGCTCGCATTGTGGCAGCCGCCAAGTCCAAGGACAGCTTCCGCTTGCTTTATTTCTCCATAGTTCTCCATAATATCCCTATACAGGTTACAAACGCACACAAGGTTACCTTTTAGTTTGTCGTTTCAACTCCACTTGTCGCAGGAAACCCGAGACAAACTATTTGAAGATTATCTTGAGTCTGGGTGCAGCTTTGCGCAGGTTGAGGCACGTTTCGAGAGGCGTTTAGAGGAAACGCAAAGGACCCAAGTGAGATGGGGTTTTCGTTCAGAACAATGGCTTGTCAAGAACCATGGAGAGCGCAAAGCAAAGTTGATCATGAAGAGAAAGAAGGATCTCGGTTTGTTTCTTGGTTTTGCTATGTCCCATATCCACCCCATATCCGACTCGCTGCACTCACCAAGCCTTAAGTCTCACGTCATCGATCTCATCGATCTCGTCATCGATCTCTCCTGCATCCAAGGGTGATTCCGGACCCGGAGTTCCCGGGTGAGGATGAATGGCTTTACTTTGTCATGGTCGAGTTCAATCTTGATGACATCCGGGAGCTCAAGAAGATAACTCAAATAGAACTCCAAGGAAGCCTCGATGCAGATGGCCTAAAGGCCTTTGTGGAAGTTACTTATCAGCGTTTGGTGTTCAGTTCATGACAGCTATATGCTACTCCCTCACATTTTCTCCTCTAGAAGCACAGCTTACTCATATGATCTTCTCAGGGTGGTGGGTGCTTGGATGGCAAGCAGCATTTACAGATTGGTGAGCTCGCTGGCAGCTCGGGGATGAAGACCCTAGCTGATGCCATCCCAGCTGCAGGGAAAAAAAACCCAAAGAAACCAAGAAAGTCAGGAGGGGATGAGAAAGACAAGGATGGTAAGGACAAGGCTCCCCAACCAAGTACACAATGTGTCATGCCCTATAAAGACTTTAGTTCTTGGTGTTAGAAAACCACATGTCTCTGACAGGTCACGCCAGAGACTCCACTTTCAAGGGCACAGACGCTATTGACGCAAGTCATGAAAGATGCAAACAGTTGCAGGCGTCATGTTTTGTTTTGCACATATGTGTGTGTGCGCATGTTGAGCTGGTCCAATGTCGAGCGCTGCTCTCAGGGACTTCGCCTTCAAGCTGAAGCCCTTATCTTTGTCAACAGATTTGATTACTCAGCTCAAAGCGTGCGCGGTGAAACTTGACGGTGAAGCTGAGAACTTGCAAAAAAAGATTCAGCAGAAAGCAAACAAGAACAAGCACTATGCCGAAATCATCACAAGGGTCTGGGGGTGTCCAAAAAATATGCAACGTATATGTGGCTTTGTTTTTTGCATAGGGTCAAGGCATTCTGAAGCAAGACAAACAGTGTATCACTTCAGGTGGACAACCTCAGGAAGGTGGCCTCGGAGAGGCTTGAGCTTGGGAAGGCCTTGATCAGGGCTTCAGAGAAGCCCCCCAAGAAAGCGAAGGCCAAGACTGAGGAGAAACCCAATGATGGCAGCAGTAAGTCGACTGGCGAAGCCACTGCCTAGACTGCCTGGTTTCCAACCTGTTTTGATTGGGGATTCTTGAGGAAGTGGCCGTTCTACCAACAGACTGCGTTTCAATGTTGGGTCGTGTTCAAGTACTCATGTCTATATAGTCTGTGTAATCATCTTGATAGGTTGTTGCTTGTGGCTGTTGGAAGGTCACGCTCAAGCTAATAGACTTGCACATTAGTTCGCCTCAGGATCTTGAGAACTTAAGTGGTCGAAAAACAAATCTGGATATGAGCAGCCAGACATGTTGACCATATGTATAAAGCGCTATAGGTAGGTTCCCCTTCCCACGCAGGTCTGCTTCAAGGTCCCGCTCACGATCCCGGTCTCCTCCTCGAAGGGGCAAGGATGCTGGGAGCGCCTTGGCAGTCACATAGGGTGCAGAGTGTCTGGTGAATTGTGGAAGGTGAGTGGAAATGTGATTTCTTATGTGCCAACAGGTGTTTTGGATGGTGCTTCTTCATCGTCGTTGCGGATTCTGAGAAAGCTATGTTCAGGTGTGCCAACCCCAGTGCATCAATTGAAATGCATCAGTGCTACATTCGTGTTTTGAAAACCAATTGAAGTTCAAAGAACATTGCTACATCCTTTAATGTTTCTTTGAGCTCCCAACGTTTTGAAGCGTGCTCCCAGGCCACAACAGCTAGTGATGCCTGTAGAGATGCAGTGCAACTAGTCAAAGATGGACTACGTTGCAACTTGGCGATGGAAATGGTCAAATGACATCATGGAAAGCATGAAGAGAGATCCTTTTCCAGGCCTTTGCTGGTCAACAATTTTTGTGTTCAAGAAAAATGTTGGGAACATATTTCAACCTTGTATGGTCTGAAACTGTTTGGAACATGTGCCCCTGATAGGTGGTGTCAAGATGTGTGCACGGTCAACGTTTCTCAAATAGATGTGCCCCTGAAACTTTTGAACGCGGAGGGGGATGAGATCCAGCTGGAATATGGTGTGGCTATTCTGTGGCCATGGGAGTTCATCTCATGTTTGTATGAGAAAACTTGAACGATGGGTGAGTGAGAATCCAAGGGAGGCTCATGACCGGTGTGAGCAGTATTGGAAACACTCTGAAGGCCAAGAGTTCTTTTCACAACTTGGCCTCCAACCAGAAAGCTACAGAACATGTGCGCCGCTATACTTCCACACGGATGCTGCCAAAATATATCGCAATCAAAAGCTTTGGATTTACAGTTGCACGTCAGCTTGCCACAAGGGTGACATCTCTACCATGAGTAAGCTGGTGATCATTGTGCTCCGGGACGCAATGATTGTGAAAGATGCAAGTCATGACAGGGTTGGGGAAACAATGGCCTACATTTGCGCAACCCTGGCATCAGGGAGGTGGCCACAGCATGACCACCGAGGGAATCCATTCCCAACAGGATCTCGAGAATATAACAGAGCTGGTAGATACTTTGCCAATGGATGGACATGCCACTTTGCAGGATTCAAGAGTGACTGGGAAGCACGGGCGGTCGTGCACAAATCCACCAGGTGGTATGCCTGCAACTTTATATGTGACCACTGCTTAGCGTCCAGGGATCCGCGCTGGACGTTCGGTGACTTTCGGGTCAATCATGCTGAGTGCCTCAAGGTTCGGTTCACGCACAGCCAATACATGGTTTTGCAAGGAAGGAGGCAGTCTTCGTGGCGGTTTGTCAAGGGTTGGACCAAAGACCGCAACCTTGAGGATCTTTGCTTGCATTTCAACGATGTTTTTCTTTGAAGTGAACTCTCAACAACTTTCCAAAACAACCCACCCAAAATGGTTGCGATGTGTTGTGATACCTAAGGACTTGCTGCACGTTATGCACCAAGGGGTTCTCACCGTGCTCATCCCCTCACTCATTTGTGACCACCTGGAGAAGAAACACGTAGGTTGCACCTTGAAAGAGTTGGATGAACTATTGGCAAAGACCGTGTTCCCCCACTACAAGCGCTGGTGCCGGAGACACCGGCAGAGTGTCTCAACCTGTTCATTTCGGTTTAGTGCACTTCGCTTTGGTAAAGATACCTGGCGATCAATGCCTGAGTTGTCAAGCATGTACAAGGCCGCAATGACCAAAGGTTTGATGTACTGGTGCGCAAGTTACCTGCTTGAAGAAAAGAACCAATCCCCAGGTGGAGATCTTCGTTACAAAACCATCTATGCCTTCTGCAGGTTTCAATACTTGCTTGACATATCAGGACCCTTCCTCAGCGAAGAGGTGACTCGAGATGTTGCAGAGTCTGGCCAAAGGGGTCTTGTCTTGTACCAGCGGTTGGTTTCCCAAGACCGAAAGCGTGAAGATTATCGTCGAGCGTACAAGATTTTACCAAAGATGCACAGTTTTTTGGAGATGACCCTGTACATACAGAGCACTCGCCGAAATGCAAGGTTTCATGACTTCAAACATGGTCAACCCATTTCCTTTTCAGTTTAATGGTTGTACACCACCAACGAGGGATAGTGATGGATGTTTTCCACTAGTTTTCAATACCAACTCCCAACAGAGATTGACTCCATCCTAGGTGGGACCAGTGCTATGCCGAAGAAGACTTGATGCTCCAGATCGGTCGCATCGCGTCAAGATGTCACGTCAACACTGTTGAGAAAACCACCCTGTCTCGATACAGAGCCCTGGCCCAGCTGTTTCTCTTCAAATGAGAACCGGACTTCGAGAGCTTCAAGCTCTGGAGCATGAGCCCGCCGGTGCCGGTGGAAAAAACGGTGAATGTGTCACGTGTGTGTTTGACATCAAGGAAAAACTGTCAATGCATCATTTGTGGTTAAGGGCTATGTTCAAGAAAACTATCATGAGAATGGTGTTTTGGTCAAACATGGAAAAGTCTTTTTCCTTGATCAGCTGGCGTGGGAGGGCGGCACGGTGCAACCACCTCGTTTCCAGGTTCATCCTGGTATTCCCCATATATATTTTATATTAATATATACAGCATATTCTCAAAGAATATGCTTTTTTTCTACTTTTTTTGGCTCAAGACATGCAAAGTTGTGCTTTGCGTGGGTGCTTAATGGTGTGACCCATCAAAGCTTTAAACATGCATGGACTCTCAGCTTTACATTCAGAAGTAAAGGCTTAAAATACAAGCCTTTACACTTTTCCTGCTTCCCATGACCCTGAAGGCTTGAAACCAAGCACTTTTGGCTGTCTAGGTTGTGGTCACAGCGGATGATTCCCGCTGATACTATGTCTTTTTGCTTGCGATGAACTTCTGGTGATTTTGGTGATTGATTTCGGCGGTCTGTCAAAATTGGCGAGGTTCTCAGCCTTTTCTTGAGCCTTTTCTTGTCTACTTGGCAATCGGCTCTAGTGGTTGGTTCCCTACTATAAACCTGGAACTGCGTGCGTGAGAACTGTCAGTAAACCCTATCACGAGAATGCACCTCCGGTCCACCTCTAGATACATGCGCGCACACACACACACTTAGATCCATGCTCGCAAAAGCTATATCAGTTTGGAACTTCCCGTGAGCTACTTACTGATTACATTAGTCGTGAGACCTTGACTCGCAGTAATCGCAAGGCGAAGGGTCAGAGACTTGAAGTGTTGAACATCACGCACTGGCACTTTAGTAAAAGACTGGGGTCGCAGCTTGTTCAACAGTCTACAGCGCGGCCAAGCCTCAAATGGGTGCAGGTACGTGACTTCGGCGTTCCAAAGTCATGCCGGGCCTTCGTTGGGCATTGCCTTCCAAGGTGTTCATTGCCCCCCTGCGTGACTGTACAAGGTAAGTTGAAGTAAAACGAACCCATTGGGGATTGATTCATGTGGCCAAACTCCTTGAGAACTGGAGTTGACACACAAACACACACTACGCCGTATCGGCGCTCCCTTGACCGAAAATTGACCTGGAACTTAAAAGCCTCTAGCAACGAAGGAAAGACTGAGAAAGAGAAACTGCGAAGGAGAGAAAGCAAGACCGTGCATGAATTACTCAGTGTGAAGCTTCCAGGTGAATACGTTAGCCGCGTGATATGAAAGACACCTAAATTAGGCATAAAAAGCCTCTGGCAACGAAAGAAGGCCGAGAAAACGAAGAGAAACAGCTAGAGGAAGCAAGAAAACATCAAAGTGAATAAATACACTAGCCGCTAGGTGAAACGTACAAGTGGTTACATTAGCGGCATGTCATGACATTCTCTGGTGTGTTGCGTCGTAGCAGCAAGAATCAAACACGACGAATATCCGGTGGAGAGCCCTCTTAGGTCTATGCTCAAAGCGCCCCGAAGTTCCGAAGGGATCCAGTGGGACGATGCTGCGGCGCACACACTTAGATCCACACTTGCAAGAGCTATATCAGTTTGGAACTTCCTGTGGGCTAGTTTCTGGTTACATTAGACCTTGACTCGAAGGAACCGCAAGCTTCGAAGGGTCAGAGACTTGAAGTGTTGAACGTCACACACTAGCAC